AAATGTACGTGTGCATGAAATGCAAGTCGTATACACAAGCACTTTTACACCTTAATAGTACCCAACAGTATAATTCCAAAAGACAATGCCTTAGAACATGCCAAGTGGAGTGATCCTGGACAGGGACTGATTAATCGCGCAACTTAATCTACTTGAAGACCTCGATTTTTGGGCGGCTTGGAGCGTAGTTACGTCCCTCTGATTAATTCGCAGGCACGAGGGGAGTGGCCGACTATCCCATATCTAAAGTTGTTGAAAGTAAATAGTAATGACGTCATCTTCAGTATCGTGGCCACTGCTAGCTCGTGCACTACTTGGCGCCTAATTTAAAGATTTAACACAAAAGTAGTTAAAATTATTCTATGGAGAAATGATGTTATGCGACCTTGATTTCGATCATGGTCCTCCCATCAAATTTAGTGAACTTAATTATTACATAAGATTTTTTTTATGATCTGAAAAGAATAAAAAAAAAAAATATATCATTTTTTTTGTAGTGATGACCGATGGTCACAAACTTATCACGCGGTTTTGAAAAGTTGTGTAGAACATTTTAAAATATATTAGTTTAGCCTGTATAAAGCATCTATTTTAACGATGTAATTGTTGAAAAACGATGCTTTACCACGAGTACACCCAAAATGGCCGCTCTAAAATTTTAGTACATCATAAAAAACACTAAAAAACAAAATAGATTAATCTTCACAAACATCAGCCAAAATTTTTTTTTTACTCTAACTCCCTTAATAGTGGACACCTTGAGTTTGTTATGTGTTTTTTTATGCTCATTTTCTTTCATCTTGTGGATTCCGCGATTCTTATCATATTTACCTGTCACATGAGAGAAAATTTTCAATTATTCTAATACATTTTATTTATTGCATGTTTTCACTGATGCCGTGATAAACATTTTTATTGCATTACGTTCAGTCTGAGCTGCACTTTACAAATTTTTTGGAATGATACAAGAATAACACAGTCAAATTAAGTTACTTTTAAAGTCAGAAGTCAAAGTTCTTCTTTTTTATGAAACGCATCACCGTATTATTGATAAATATTTTTAAATAAACTAGTTAAAATTAGATCAATGTTCCTTAAATAAACTATTCCACCAAACCTATTAAACTAAACCAGACTTTTTTAACGATTGACGTGAGATTACAAAATTTATGTCACAGATGTAACACACCTGTAATCGCATTGTAAAAGCCAAGTTTGTTTACTCTACAGCTTTCCTATATTAGGTTTTTCTGTTTATAAGTGTCTAGTTAAGTTTAACTGGTTAACTGCTTAGAGCAACATAGATAAAGTTTTTTGAATTTTTATCAGCTTTTTTATAAGCTCACATTTATCCAAAATTGTAACCAAACAAGCTTCTTTCAGCTCAACCGGTTTTAAAATATCTCGGTAGTTTGCGTTGTTTATTCATAGCATGCTACAACTACTCAAAGCACAACAGCAGCCGTCACCCCCAATCCGTTCCTAATGAAGCTTATGAAAGAGGGCCTTTATCAAGAAGTTCGATGATTCAGCAGCTGGATATCCTCTCCATTCTGTATTAGGTTAAACACTGTCAGTAGTCAGTATACTTCAATATTATGCAACGCATTCTCGTAGCTATTAGCCCTCCCGTATGGCTCCTTGTTCGGCAGTAGGAAAGGGAGGATTCTGCTCGGGTGTCTCCGTTTGAGCGGATCATCAACAGAAAATTCACTTGTTAATAGCAAGATGTAATCTCGATTTAAGAATGCTACTAAGTGCTCAAGTGAGCTTACTTTTGATTTACCTTATCTTGATGTGGGATATCATAAGTGATTCTTCAACTACAATGTTTTGTTTAAAATTCAACTAAAATATTCTATGAAATCGAGAAGACTCAACAATTGACTAGAACTTTTTCTTGTAATCTTGGCCCGACTCTGAAACATTATTGAAAAATATTGTTACGACTAAAAACTATTTTTATTGATAGTAAAATTAAGAAAACTGTTATACTAGTACTACCGTAAGTGTGTAATTATTATCGTGCACCACTTATTCTGGTTATAATAATTACCGTGTCATAATCATCATAAACGAAAAATGACACATATAATTTTTTATTTGGTACAAGTAAAAGAATAATACCCAATAACTAATTAACAATTTAAAAAATTTTTATACAATATACCTATTTTACTATTTATTTGTTATTATCAATCTTATAAAAAATGCATAAATGGTCATGTTAACTATATTTGAACTGGGAAAAATCGACAGTTCGAGATGCTTCCACCACTCCGCTCATTTGCCGCAACAGTGAAATATGTGCATATATGTATATTTGTTGAGCTGCTGCTGCTGTGATGCTACTGTATTGGGATGTAATATGGGCCACTGGAGGGGATAAGAAATTCAACATGGCCCGGGAGAGTCACCTCATACACACGCGCAGCATAGGGCTTGAAGGCTACTTTTCCTCCGTGTTTAAATTTTTGATGACAATGAGGCCCGTGCGTTTTTCTAAACTATATTTACATCAGGAAGCAGCTCACAGTGCACTTTTTTTATACTCTAGAGCTATGTAACTCACGAAAATCCGAATTAAAATACGCAGCTGCTGATAGCTTTCCCGCGTATACATATATCTACAGCAGTGCTCGTATACATATAGGTACAGCACTTTATCAGCAGCTGCGTATTTTAACTTGGATTTTCGTGAGTTACATAGCTCTAGAGTATAAAAAAAGGGCACCGGGAGCTACTTCCTGATGTAAATATAGTTTAGAAAAACGCACGGGCCTCATTGTCATCAAAAATTTAAACACGGAGGAAAAATAGCCTTCAAGTCCTATGCTGCGCATGCATATGCGTTGACTCTTCCGCGCCATGTTGAATTTCTTATCCCCTCCAGTGGCCCATATTACATCCCAATTCAGAGTCAGTCGTACGAGTTCGGAAGCGGTCGAGTTTTGCGGTCTCGAAGGCCTCTCGAGTCTTTCGTCAACTTCATACAAGTACAACGTCATAATATACTTATACACGTGCACTTGAGCAGAAATAAAAATTAGTTGCCTCTCTATGCACTCGTAGGCACGGCAGGGGGCGAGCGTTAGGTACTCATGAAGCAGCCTACATAACCTACCTTTATCTTACCTTACGAATTGTATACATAGTGAAAAATTGCGATAAAAACTGTTCAAAAACCGTATTTAGGCTATAAAATTTTTGTATGCAACAGTTTGTACACTGTGATTCAGCTGCCTGCTATAAAGTAAAGTTCATCTGTTATACAATTGAGTCAATATGTTTTTGTATAAAAGAAAACTGAGCTGCAGTATAAGCAATTTATTTTTAATTTTTACTTGATTATAACTTAAAAATAATTTAGAGTTAACTAACACAAATCATATACACATATTGTTAATTTGACATTGACAGTGAGTGACATTTATAAGGTTTCATTTACATCTTCATGTATATAAAAACTGATTTATGAATAAATTAAATATAAATCATTCAAACCAAAGCATGACTTTTGTGTAATTTCAATACAATGGGTATTCTTTTATGGATGGATATATATTTAAAAATTGAAAGGTAGTTAGGTTATATTAATTAAGACAGCCTACTGAGGGCCTACCAAACGTCCCCTGACGCTGCCATTGTAGGATCTCAGTAGGTAAGAGAGGCAGCCAAAGTAGGGCCTACTGATCGCCTACTTACAATTTTTTACATGTACCGTGTATATTGTTTATACTGTTATTCAAAAATTCGTTATGTCGGTTTTTTGTTATATTATTCATTTTATTTCAGAACATAATCCTTCCTTACGTGTTTGCCAATAAATTGTTGGATTTTTGAAATGTATATATGTTTATGTCCTTTGGCATGTACATGAGTGTGTTTCCTCACTTTACTGAAGGGGTTAATAACGGTTAATGTTTCGTTGCCATACATATGAAGTAGCATCGCTTCCATCGGAGGTCATGAGACCCCTTACGAAATTTTTTCTAACTATTTCTTATTACAACTTACAAGTAAATGTTGAAATACTGCAACTTTTTTTTACTAAAATCGTTTATCGTACAATAAAAAATTAATAGTTTCTTTTAAATCCACTGTTAAAGGGCAAACCACAGTTGTAGGGTCACTACTATGCAAAGCAAGGATCAGCTATTAGACTGTTAAGTGATAACATTGTCCTGAAGGAAACGTTGGAGTGATTAGTACCTTTTTGAATCAAAATAGGTACATGAATATTAAGATAGTTTTATTAATGATTTTCAATTTAGAAACATATACAAGTATTACTTTAGATATTAATATAAATAGTTGATTGACTAAGGCAATAAATATTAAAAGGCACTACTATGCTGTTTTTGACATATTTTTCGGTTCTATCGACTGTAACTTTGTTACATTGGGATTCGAATTCTTATTTTTTTTATTTAGTTTAATCTAATTTTGAAATAAATTAGGATTAACTTGGTTGGAGCTCAAGTAACTTTTTTCTTCTATTTAAATTTGTATCTTTTATGGATCTACCATAGTAAACAGTGATTTGACATAAACAATGGAAACCAGTATAGTGCCCTACGAATAATTCTCACTATCAAATTTTCACATGACGAATTTTATTTTAAATATTTTGGGTCTACAAGATAAATTAAACGAAAATATGAAAGGTTAATTTTTTACGCAAATGAAAAATATTGGATATAAAGCAAATAACAGTTAAGAATAAGAAGCAAAATAGGTCACGATTGTACATCATTTTAACTTTATAGGTCCTTTACTCCTCAACTATCACGTTTTTTCTCCATAATTTTTATAAGTTATTAGAAAAAATTAATAAGTAAAAATATATTTATTATTGATCGATAATGTAAGTAAAGGATCGTCCAGGTTTTATTATGCTGGACCCTAATAAGGCTAGCTCGTCCTAAAATTAAAATTTATTTTTGTAAAAAAAAAAAAAAAAAAAAAAAAATGTTAATGCTCAGATCTTCTAACATTAGGAAACCAACATTCGTTCCGTGCTTCCATTCTGGGACAGCGACCATATCTGGATGGTGCAATGTCGTTTTCGAGTCACCTGTTGGAATCGTATCGAGGCAAGCCACATCATTCCCATCGGCATCATCGGAGCTCAAGTTTAACTGAAGCAGCAGCAAGCAATGGTTCTTATCGTGTCAATATTAATACCACCAACTCGTCGATGGTCTCGCCATCTTCCAGTGATCAGCACTTAGTCAACACTGGTGGTGCAAATCAAAATTGTTACAAGGACAGTCCTCAACATGAAGGTACGTTTTTATCATTCCCTTAATTACTTTATTTTCGTTTTTATCCTCCGTGTTAAATACTTAAGTTCTAATATAATTATCAAGTATGTTGTAAAAAAATTTTTCATTATTTTTGTCATTGGGTACGATGCTAACCAAATTATTTTTCTCCAATTTGCAATACCTGTCCAATGTTAATGAAAAAATACTTACGATTTTAGCTCACAAAAATACCTTTGCCAACGAAAATATGCAAATGCTTTGGCAATTCTTGAACTTCGGTAATGTTCGAGTCCTTAGTAAAATAGCTTTTGAAACATCCAAATGTATACTTCAAGCGCTAAACATCGATGCACTATGTGTATAACTAGCAGCCCCCCGTCTCAGCTTCGCCCAAGACTTACTAAATGGAACACCATAGTGTGTTGACATGTAATGTGACACGTTTTAAATTAGAAAATTTTACATACGTTCCTGACATTTCTCAGAACAAAAATTATCTTTTTAAAAACATATACATTTGGAATTCATACAGTATATTTGTTACAATAATAAGCAGTAAAAAAAAATATAATTATGCTGAAAATTACCGTGCGTTCCTTATGCCATACAATAATTGTTGCCCATATGGGGCCGTTGATTTGCAGTTTCTCCCGTATAAATAACGACGAGGGATTTTTTTTTAACTGTGAAGATTTAAGACTGAAAAAAATATACATGAAAATAAAATTTGTTTTTTTCATATCTCACAACTTTATTTAGAAGATTTAGGAGATTACTGTGAGGGTACAATGAAAAGCTGATTTTTCACGTAATAGATTCTTTATTTGTCGATTTTGACGCTGCTATTCCAATCTCGATAAATTTTCTGCCTCAGTTTCTTGACGCCTGAAATTGTATTTAATAAATACATTTGAAGTTTTTCCGCTAATTTACTCTCTAGCAGCTTTTGACATGCTTAAGACTTTTGTGACCCCTAAAGAATGTTTTCTGTCAACTTTGTTAAGTTTTAATGTATTTGTTCGTAAGTTCAACGTCCGATGGCCCTAAAAAAGACTGGTAAGCTTCTTAAGTAAACTCTTTTTTGACTGGAGTTAACAGTAATTGTAACTGCCTGGATACCTAAGGGTGATCTTCTCTGGTCTGCTGTTAAAGCCCCAGACTGATCAGGAAAAGAATTACAAAGTCCGAAGCTTTGGAACTAGTTGTAGAGAAATTTCTTAACGTTTCCTGGAATAACGTCGAAAATGTTGAGGTCTAAAGCACATTTTTTTTGCAGACTCAGTTGTTTTGGTGATCTAAGATGCGGAAATTAGTTCGTACTGCTTGCCCGTTGGAGACTGTCCCATTGGCTCAAGTTTTTAAAAGAAATTCTTTATGTTACGTACTGGAGGGGGGGGGGGGAGACTGGAATTTCAAAAACGACAGATTGTATAAAACGGAAGTCGCTTACCAGAAGTCTCTTTCTCCTAAGTTTTCCCCCTTACCCCGTTGCCCTCACCATCAGTCCCCTACACACTTCCCCTCACCCCACCATATATCTTTTAACCGTACTGCGCTACTCTCCTGCACACCTTGCCCTACCATTCCTCTTCACACTCCCCACTCCCAAGCGATTAATTTTTGAACAAATTTTAATTTTCTTTTCTTTTTCTTCCACAATTCTAAAAAAAAAAAAAAAAAAACATTTTCCAACAAAGA